TTAGCACAAACACAGCTGAAAGTATGTAATGTGAAGAGAAACTTTGGGATTAGGTAACAAAAAAAAATTATACTTTGGTAATCTAAGGCATATGATCTAACATCTCCAACCACACCTTCCCTGAATTTAATCATGAGGTGGTGGAGGCAGGGCATTCTCAGTTGAGAGGGCCGTGACTCCAAAACTTGCTTCCCTTGTTGGTTAATCGAAGCCTGTCTTGGTTGACTTTCAGGATGACTTGTTCTATCAGGCTTTTTCTGGGGAGGGACACACAAGTAGATGGGTGGAAGGTGATGAGTTTTGAGGCAGGGCAGTTTGACGTTTGCTATAAATTTGTCTACAGTGAATGTATGTGTACCCAGATATGGGAACGTATTTTATAAACCCCCCTTTACTGCTGTAACATGAATACATTCTTTGTGTGGTAGACTCTGCAGAAGTAGGAGTGAAAATTTTCACCTGGGGACTTCACTGCAAAAGCTAATAGCTCTTTTGACATTAAATTGTGTAAAATGTTTGTTGTGATTAAGATGTTTCAGTGCTTTCTGAATGATAGAGCTCTTTACAGCCATTGTCACCCTCAACTAACTAGATTCCTGATAGAAAATGATCGTGTGTGTTGTTTAACTTTAACTTTGCTATTTACAGACGTGAAGAAAACAGAATCACTACTATGTGCTTTTGGCAATGCATAAGTCTCTCAATCTAGCATTGTAATTATCTATCCCTTTGTAATAGGAAAAATACTTGAGTGTTACAGTAAATGTAAACAGGCTGTTGGGGTTTAAACCACAGGAGGAAGGAGGAATCAAGAGAAGGGTTTGGTTGGGGAGGCCTTGTCATGAATTAGTGTGCCCCTCCCAGTGTATTGTATGTCCCAATTCTATTAAATCCATTGTGAACACATACCCAGGGGAGAGCACTCCTGTCTATTTATACTCAAAAACATCCTTAAAAAGAGGCCACACTGTAGCATTTTAGGTTGTTGGTATCCTTTTGAACTATTTGTGGTGTTGTTTTTCACTGCAAACAAAATACTATTATTTAGGGAGTAGTATTTTACATCACTTAAAAAGCTGATCTTTACCATCTTATCATAAAATTAAACCTTGAATTTGGTTTGAAAAAATTGAACAAAAGCTATTTATAATCTTTTGTGGAATACCGTGAATGCTTAAATAACAGTGGTGATGTTTGTTTAGTGACTTAGAAATGATGCATTTAAGCTGCTATGAATTCCTTATGTACCTCACTTTTCATCTTTAACACGGGGCCTGATTGATATTTAGGCAGATCGGTATTTGCGTTTCTTATTCTCATGGGAAAGTTCTGTCTCCACTATATCTAATTAAGTATATTATTTTTGCACTGTATCTATTTGCATTATTTGTTGATTTTTCCAGTGTGCTCTTTCAGGACACTAGGAAAATTATGCATAAATTTCAAAATCAGTGGGATATCAAAGAATGTATATAATTTCAAACTTGAAATCCTGACTATTTAAATTTTGTTCAACGATTATTCTGTTGTAAAGCTGATGAATTGCTTCTTAGGCCTGGTCTACACTAACCCCCCACTTCGAACTAAGGTACGCAAATTCAGCTACGTTAATAACGTAGCTGAATTCGAAGTACCTTAGTCCGAACTTACCGCGGGTCCAGACGCGGCAGGCAGGCTCCCCCGTCGATGCCGCGTACTCCTCTCGCCGAGCTGGAGTACCGGCGTCGACGGCGAGCACTTCCGGGATCGATTTATCGCGTCTAGACAAGACACGATAAATCGATCCCAGAAGATCGATTGCCTGCCGCCGAACCAGGAAGTAAGTGTAGACGTACTCTTAGAATGATTGGAGGGGACTGTAAACCTTGATTTTTGTAGTATTCTGGTAACACATGTATTTCTTCTTTCTCAAGATAAGTCTAACAGGTGAGTAGATTACTTTTCATCACTGTTTGTTTAGAAAACAGTTATAAAAGTTACTCCTGTAACTTTAAGTGACTTCAATAGAACTATTCACATGCTTAAAGTTAAGCACATTCTTAATTCATTGCAGGCTTGGGGCACTTTTTAAAAATGGAAATACTGTTAGCAATCATTCAAAACTGTTAAGTGTGAATGACAGTTGAATTGCCTATATTAAAAGAGTTAAACATCACATAATGGAACAAAAAGAGACTATTAAATTTCGGTTGTTGTTGGTAGCATAATTATTCAGCTTTTTTTTTAACCTGGGTTATAAGATTTCAAAAATAGAGGTCCCAGTTCAGCAGTTCATTCTTATTCAGCAGAGCAGTAAAGCCTGCACTGAATTAAGCATGTGCTTAAAATTGACACTATAGTGATGTATGTGCTTAAATATTTTGCTAAATATGAATAGAAATAAGCACATGCTTTACTACTTTGCTGATTTGGGGCCAGAAACATTAAATAGCAGAGGAAAGAAAGGGGAGGGAGAAGCAGCTGCAGGGAGGGGCGGGGTTTTTAGTGGATTATAGATTGTTGCAATAAGCCATAAGTCCACTGTCACTATTCAGTCCACCTACTATAAAGAACTCAAAGAAGACCCCACACAACAATTTACACAGGAATTTAAGAATCTCATCAAATCCCCCCTCCTCAAACAACTCCGAGAGATTCTACATACTCATCCTCCACGAACGTCTGTATGCTTCCCAAGATACACAAACAAGGGAACCGATAATATCTGGCCACGGCACTCCTACTGAAGGAATATTGGGACTCATAGAAACCATCCTCAAACCACTCATCACACAAAGGGTTAGCTTCTTCCAACTAACTTCCTCCACAAACTTCACAATATTAACAACCTTCCTCAGAACACCATCTTTACTACCATGGAGGTCACCTCTCTGTACACGATCATCCCTCCAATGATGGCTTAGCTGCCTGCTCTAATATTTACAAGACAATGGACAACTCTCAGATATCCACCCCAGACACATCGCCAAATTCATCCATTTCATTCTCACCCATAACAATTTTACATTCAACAAAACACATTTTACCCAAATCCTGGGAACAACCATGGGTACTAGGATGGCGCTCCAAAATGCCAACCTCTTTATGGGCTACCTTGAAGAATTGCTGGGCAAATGCACCATGAAACCAATGGTGCACCAGAGATACATCGAAGATATTTTCATCCACTGGACAGACGACTTCAGCTCCTTCTTAGATTTTCAGCACAACTTTATCAACCACCACTTGTCCATTAAACTCTCTCTGAAACACTCCCACCCAGCATTAACTTCCTGGACACCATGGGCAGCTTCAACAATGGAACCCTAGAGACAAATATATGCAAGAAACCCATTGATCACCATACCTACCTTCATACATCCAGTAACCATCCCAAACCTACAAAGAAATCTGTTATCTACAGCAAGACACTCAGATCCGGAGAATATGCTCTGAGGAGGAAGTCCAGGATATACATCGTAACACAATCAAAACCACCTTCACCAAACAAGGATGCTCCATCAGAGAAGTAGATCACATCATGGAACGGGTCACCCAAATACCCAAGAGAACCTGCTTCAACACAGAAATAAAGCCCTCTCCAATCGCCCACCTCCAGTTGTCACCTGGCACCCCACACTGGCACCCATATGGGGTATTATCAAACAAGTACAATCCATACTCAATGAAGACCACCATCCTGAAAGAAATCTTTCCTGAACCACCTCTTCTGGCCTTCAAACACCCCACCAACCTCTCCATACTCATCATCAGAAGCAAGGTCCCCATAGACCAGGACATGTCAACTCAAAGCGGCACCAGACCCTGCCAGAACAACAGATGCAAAACTTGCAGACATAGCTCCACTATTACAATGATGAACACACCTTTCAAGACATGCCTATCACAACGTGCTGTATCTCATCCAGTGCACTAAATGCTCAAATAGCAACTATATGTGGTTACACCCATAATTGCCACACTCTTGAATAAACTCACACAGCAAAATGATGAAAGACAAAAATACCCCATCTGTGGGTGACCACTTTTCGCAAAGTGATCATTCAATATCTGACCTATCAGTCCTCATCCCCCAAGGAAACCTGCACACTTTCAAAAGATGAGCCTGGGAGCTTAAATTCATAAGTTTGCTATACGCTAAAAATCATACACTGAATAGACACACTGGATTGATGGCTTATTACAAAAATCTATCATTCACTAACAACCGTCCTTGTCTCCTTGTGACTGGAGGGATGGTAATAGGACACTTTACCTTGAATGGTCCCTTGAAATATATGTGAACTACTTATACTAAACTATCTGTTCTACCTTGCGTTTAGCTGTGACACTTTGAGTAAGTTTTCCAGACCTGAAGAAGAGCTCTATGTAAGCTCAAAAACTTGTCTCTCTCACCAACAAAAGTTGGTCCAATAAAAGATATTACCTCGCCCACCTTGTTTCTCTTGAGAAATGAGGTCAAATTCTGCTGCCCTTTATGTTCTTTATTCCTCAGGTAATCCTGTTGAGCTCATTTTGACTAAATAACAGAGTCTCACCATAAGTAATGTTTTTATCTAGAATTAATGTTACAGTGGAAGCTTGGAGATCTTTCTTCATGCGGTTTATAGATTTGAAAGGAGACAGTTGCAAGATTATTTCTATGAATAGGTATGGAAATTTGAAAGGGATTTTTGTATGAAGTTATGTTACAGAGCTACAGATTTGGTTATTTGTCTACCTTTGAGATGTCATGCTCCATTTGCAGTGCTTTAGGTTTTTTTTTTTTTTTGAGAACCCAAAAATATGCTTGCTGCCTCACAAACACATGTCATGAACATAGTTCCAGCTCCAAAGAGCATCCTGCATAATACCAATGCTTGTAGAGGTGCTAAAGGAAGGGCATGAACGTTTCTATATAACAATAATGTGGAATTTGAACTAAGAAAGGATAGCTAAAGATGCTGGAGTAAAATAAAAAAGCAAAACAGAAGAAACTTTAAACCTATTTTGTCTTTCAGTCTTGGCCTGTATATGAAGATGTGCATAACAAGATGTCTGAACTTGCAGCGTTTTTAGATTTGCCTTGTTTTCCAGCTATAACTGATAGCTGCTTTCTTCATCCAAACATCTTGTGCATTAAATATCTGATGGAAGCCAACTTACCTGGTAAATACTCTCTAAAACTTACCGTCTAATTAAATCTTGATCTTTGCATTCTATAAATCTGCTAAGGCTCTCTAGCAAAGGAACTGATGAACTATTCACATACTAGCCTTATCATACTGTTATGACAGTGCTTCCCCTCTTCCTTTTAAGTTTCTTAACATTTAAATATGGAACCCCAAAGATAATTACTACAGAAATAATTTAATAAGTTGGCTGAACATTGAAACATTATGGGCTTGATCCTGCAAGGTTCTGAGCACCCTGACCCCGACCCAGCAAAGTGCTTAACAATGTGCTTACTTTAAGCATGTCAATAGTCCTGCCAATTGTCCTTAGGACTGTTCACATTCTTAAAGTTAAGCATGTGTTTAAGTACTTTGCTGGGTTGGAGGAGAGCACTTTGCAGGTTCAAGCCCTATGTGTGGTACTCATTTTTAATTTCATGAGAGCTGATGTTCATTGTATACATGAATTTTTATAAGGTTGTTCTTGAGTGCCACTGTAGTTAGGGGACACTTCCTAAAAACAGAGTTTAAAGTGGAAATCATGGCGTTCATATTGCAATTGCTTCTGTTGCTTTAATCTCAATGTAAACATGTTTTGACATACATTTGAATAGCTAGTATTCATTTTTAAAAGTGACTTTTGAGACTCTTATTTTCTATGCAAGCTGTAACTAATTTCAGTAAGTTTTCAGTTGAATTTATATTAAAATATATAAAATCTGGTCACAGAAATTAAAAGAAATAATCCCATTTTTCTCTATTCAATTATCTGAAGCTCAGCTGGAGATTTCTTAGTATTTACAAACTGAAATGAAAAGTACCTTGTGATTCTAGTTCTTTGGGGTCACAGTGTCAGGGACTGTAAACCAGTTTCTGACTTGCTTGATTTCTGAGTTAACATCAGTATTAGTGCTATGTAAACATTTCATGTTTTTTTGTTTAAATAGTAAACATTCAAGATTGTCTAACAAATGACTATAGAAACTAGTATATATGCTATACATATTGGGCTTCCATGCTGCAGGTATCACAAATGTCCCAGTTAGTCAAAATGGCTGTTTTCACCAAATAATTTAGAAATGGTAATTTATTTTTTTCATACATATCAGATATTTTATGAGTATACAACAATTCTTCTCACTGTGTGAGCTTGCAATTCTTATTTAAGGTCACATTTGAAGGTGTAAAAAGAAGAAACCTCACATTTAGAGCTAAAATTCCAGACTGGACATTCCATCTTTTAATCATTCTGTGCCTGTGTAGCATTGCACTATATATAACATCACATAATCTTGAAATATCAACTAAGTGACTTGAGGATGGTCTGTAGGTCTGCAGTTTTCAGACTTACTACAAAGAAATTCAGAGTTGTCAGACCTTTTAAAATTATTACAAAAGAAGAATAGTTACAAAGGAACAATAAATGGAATCCACAATAAAACTTAACATAAAAAAAAATTTATGACTATCTGAAAAAGGAATAACAGGATGGGAGAGGGATTTGGACAAAGAAATTGATCTGGATGACTGTGTCTCTGTAAGGGAAAGGGGATATACATCTTCAATTTGTGTAGTTCATAAAGAAAATTTGTATAAATTACTGTGTAGGTGGCATTTGACTCCAATTAAGATCCATCCTGTATTTGTTACTAGGAAAGTGTTCTGTTAGAGGGGTTGCAGGGAAAGGGGAAAATACTTGCACATGTGATTGTGTCCAGGAATTAGACTGTTTTGGGAGGAAATTATTAAAGACATTGATTCTATGACAGAATACCAACTTCTTAGAGATCTCCTGATCTGCTTACTTATTGCTCCAGGAAAGGATCTACATTTAAACAAAATGACAAAATATATTTTTATTGTTAGCAGCTAGACTTTGTGTTGCACATTACTGGAAATAGGTGATCCTTCCTCCTTTGGAATTGTGGTATAGTAAAATATGGATTGTCCTGGTAATGGAAAAGCTTTTGTACCAAGAGAATCACCAAAAAGATGATAGGTATTTAAAAATTTGGTTACCATTTCTAGCTTTCTCAGAGGAGGGAGGGCTTTCCAACCTGGAATCCAGAAGCTTTAGCCAGGTTCTTCGAATATTAATCTGATCCTGAATAAGTAATGTATGCTGTAGTATGTTAACGTTTTATTGTCACTTTGCCTTAATAAAAACCTTTATAAAAAAAAAAAAAAAAAAAAAAAGGCTGGCTGGGAATATATTATGTGATGTAGGCTACAGTGAATTGATAATATCCCCTTGGGACAGTGTGGAATTATGAGAAGTCATTTTTTCTTTTAATATTCACTATTTAAACATATTGAAACTTTCTTGTGTAAGAGATGCTATTGTTGGTAACATTTTATTTTCAGGGATTGTAGTGGTTTGATGCATATTCTCTGTTGTGTGTTTAGTGTTGTGTATGAGGGTGACAACTGGAAAATTATGGATCAGGTCTTGTACTAATTTAACGTTTTACAAGCAATAGCTGTTGTGGGAATAGAAAGTATAGCTGAACTAATGTACGCAGTCAGAATATAGCAAGATAGTGCTAATCTTTTTGGAATCTGATGATGTAATCAGTTCCTGAGTTTCTTGCTAAACTGGAAAGGTAAGAAATGTGGGGATTTTGCACCAGTGAAAATAAGTATACAGTAATATTGGACTGTTCAGATGCAGTACAACTGATGTTGGAATAATATTGATGTCTCTGAATTTTTCCTTTTGTGGTTTAAACAGAGAGTAGTTAAGATTAGCATTATAAACTTTAAACTGTGTCACTTCAGGCCTTGTTTCTGCAATCACTTACACACATATTTAATTTTATTACTGGGAGTAGTCCTATTTAAAGCTACAGGGCTACTTGAAGTAGTAAAGTTAGACCCTGATCCTGCAAGTTAAAGGTTGTACAACATGTATTTAAGATCTGCCATACCTAGGGTATGACCAGGGTGGCCTAGCAACATCATTATTCCATCCAAACAGTCCAATGAGTATTTTATTCAAAGTGTAATTTTTCTTCCCTATTTCATAGTATATATTTTAAATCATACTGGCCTACCAAATAGGAGTGTTCTGAGGGTTAATTTAGTTAATATTGGTAAAAAGTTGTATTTTAAAAAATCTGTGTATTTATAAGGTGTTAGAAACTGGCATATTGCTAACCGGCATATTTAGCATGTCTGTACAGCTTATTTAACAATATTTTACTTTACCTTTTTTTCTTAATTAGATGAATTGCACAATTGGACTTGCAGAGTGGTAAAAAAGATCAATGTTGGAGAAACAGACTTTCTGACACTTGATCCTGTGAATAAATCAGCAAGGAAAGTAAAATATGATGTTCTTGCTGCAGCCATCATTATAGTGGTGCTCAAATTACTATTTTTACTAGATGATCAGTATGAATGGTAAGTATGTTTTATGAGCAAACTTTCACGTCAGAAGGGCCCAAATTTTCTAACATGTTGCACTAAAACTTTTTTTAAACCGCTAACTCAGGCCCAAAGAATGGAAAGCAGATTCAATAATAGGCAATGTCAGTTTCTTGCTATAACTCGTGATCTATTATTTAACGCTACTGTACCTTTAGCTAACTAATAATTTTAGTTTAAAAGTAAGCAATAGTTCACATCTCAGATGACTACATTGATAACCAAATCTGATTGTTTTAAAGATAGGATTAAGGATAAAATGGGTGGAATTTTTGGTGTCAGCGGTTTTGTTTTAAATACATTTTTTTGAAAGTTTCAGAAGTGGAAAGTATGATTCCAAAAAACAATCCATCTGATAAATATATATATTTTCAGGTTAAATGCAAACTTTGCTGGAAAAAGAAATCAAAAGAACAAAGAAGGTACTCAATATGTCAGTGGAAAGAATCTAATATAATTTTTAAAATGAAATTTTGTAATTAAACTAAGTAGGGCATGGACTTATTGACCCTAAGAATGTCGGGTTCGGGGGAGTTTTTTTTTTTTTTTTTTTTTTTTTGGCTTTCATCAGTTTTTTTTATGGTGCATCAATTACTCCTTTGGGGTAAATTTAAAAATCTAGAAGCCCATTTGCAGAGTTGTTGGATCTGTATTAGCATGTACATTTGCAGTATGAACTGTTAACATTTACAATTTAGTTAATTTGTAATGTTGGGCAAGACTAGATAGAAATTTAAAACATTTCCACTTTATTTTCTGAAAAATATTTAAAGTTTTAATAGCTTCTGTTATTTCTGCTCTTGCATTCTTTGAGTTCAACTCAAAAGTTCTGGCTATATCATGTATATTTTGTTCTTCATGGAATATACACATCTCTGCTTTTTGGAGTAAACAATACCTTGTATGTTCAAAAATTAGTTATTTAAGCATGTTTTATTTGAAATATACTCCTCACCTTGGTTCTGTTTGGAATCCTTATAATTATTGTTTATTTACTAAAGTCATACTTACGCCTCTTGTCATGGGACAGTAGGTGCTAGGTATGTTGCTTAAATGCATATGTGGTACAATTCAGGCATAAATTGAGAGGTACTTATTCTCAAATCACAGAACAGGGGGTTTTGGGTTTTTTAGTGCTATATGTTTCATTACTCTATTTAATCATAAATATGGAAGGATGATATGACATTGGAGTTTTGGAGAGGCAGGAGGAATATGGTTGGCATTTTGTTTGCAGGATGCCTAGCAGAGAAGGCTATTTTTCATTGTTTTGGGAGCTGATTAAACTTTTCAGAATCCCATGAATACTTTAAAAAAAGAATTAAAAAGAATATTTTAAAAGTAGCTAAAATTCTTGACCTGTCAACCTTCATTATTCCTTTGAACAGTTCACATTCCATATGTATGGAGGCCAATTCATGTTGTAAAGGTGAAAGGTTTATTCTCTAGAGATGGAGGGTAAAATCTAAATCAAACCACCTCTTTATGGATGAATCATGGAACTTAGGGAGAAAAATGCCTTATTAACTCCTGCTATTCTTAGCAGCAGGGTAAGGGCCAAAGAGTGAAAACCAAAGAAGTGTAAGGTGTTTATATGAGCTGAGCTAAAGACACACAATTCACTCCCACTTATTTGGCTCCTCCACATCCCTGATGGTATCCTATAGGTTTCTTCACTGCCTGCTGCTTTGTATGATTTATTTTTTAAGGCATCTAGAGTCTAGGATATGCAATATACCTGTTTAAAAAGAAAGCTAAGGGTCTAACTGCTGCTACCTTTCGAACATTCTGTATTTTATTGTGCTCTATCACTTTTCCTAAAACTAAATTTTGGATTTTACTTCAGGCTGCCTGTGGTTTGATTTCAAAAAGTGGTACAAGATTATAAAGAAGTCTGTGGATGTGGAACAGAAGAAATTAGATGAAGAAAGAGCCCGGTATGCTATTGTTCAGTACCTCACTTTTTTTGAGGTTGAACATCTGGGGTGAAATCCTGGCCTCAGTGACTTCAGTGGGGCCAGGATTTCACCCTTATTTCTGTCGCATGAGCTTGGAGGAGTAAAGCAAATTAATAAATCCTTATGCTCTTTCTCCCATCACGCTTAGAACTTTGGCCTGACACATTAATTAAATGGAAACTCTCTGTGACCAGTGACTGCATTACTAAAGCTATCAAAACTGATTACAATAAATGGTGAAAAATTGATGAAGAGCACTTCTTCTACCCCCACTCCACCAGTTTGAAGAGAGACTTCTCTTATGCATGGTGGGGAGTAATGGTACTGGGCACTTACCAACTTGAGGTTATTCCTAAAACATTGGATACTTGTAATAACAATCCTGAGAAATGACTGCCTTTTCTTGTTTGTTTGGCTATGGTTGTGCTGGTTTTTATTTTTTCACCAGGTTGTATTTCTTTCACTGATAGGTGTCTGTGGAAATGTGAAAAACCACTATTCTACTCAGCCAAGGAAAAATCTGTAGTTCTTAAGAAAAGACGTGAGTATAATTTCCTTTAGCCAACAATGTGAGCAATACAATAGTAATATTTTCTTGTCTTTTTTCCCTGTTCAAGTTTTTGTTTATCAAAGGGATTTAGAATGAGAGTACTAGAATACATTGTTTATATTACAAGAGACTTGAAATGGATTTTTTAGTAATTGAACTTTTGCCTTTTTATGCTATTTTATTATGTATAAAGGCAGCCTGTGTTTTTTAAGCTTTCTTTTTACTGGATTTTTATTGTAAAGATATTGGGAAAGTCTGTTTGGTCTTCACTTGTTTTGCTGGAGTACCTCTTGGGAGTCTGAGCATATGTATTGTGGGCTCTGATAGCATAGCTGGAGGGGTAATGGTGTTTGAATTCTTAAAACATCCTTTCTTCAAAATGTTCATTAGAAAATGGAGTTTAATGTGTTTTTTAAAAAGACCTCTAAACAATCTGATTTAAAATTACTTCTCCTCTCAGGTCCTCTATAACTTTCAGTCTCTATACTTACATGGGGTCATAACTTTAATAATAGTTCCAGTCACCATGGAGGTTTTTAGAATAGACTGACTTGAATTTCAAATGTAAAAAGGAAGAAGAAGAAGAAAAATAAACATTTCAGGCTTTCTCTATATATCATGCAGAGGTAGGAAAAAGCACAAATTCAAATTACCTTTTTAAAACAGAATTTTAATGTTCCGTGTAGAAAGGTAAACTCTGTTTGTGGGAAAATGTGATGAGACATTGTGGCTTAGGTTTTTGTTTCTCTTTGTACAGAAATGGTAGTGAACTTACAAAGACAGTTTGGTGCACTGTCTGGTTCAATGCAAGTTGCTGAAAAGCAAAGCCCTTCAAGTTTCCAGTTAAATTGGGCTGAAGAAAACACAGATGGGAATTGTTTTCATGGGCATATCCTAGAGGGAGTTTTGCAAGAAAAAGGCAATTCACTTACAACCATGAACACCAAGTATTGGCTGTGTACAGTTAAACTATGTAATGAGAAGTAAGTATCTGACTCTTGTTGGAAATTTGTTGAATGTTCATGAAAAAGTTTCTCACAAAAATTTAATTTTAAGAAGGTATTTTATTTTTATTAAACAAGATATTTATTGTGAGAGCTCTGGACTGAGACTGTGCATTGACTAGTGACTTACCTATGCTAAGCTGTTTTTTTAATACATATAAAAAAATTAATCGTGATTAAAAAAATTAATCGCAATTTATCGCACTGTTAAGAGAAAACCAATTTAAATTTATTAAATATTTTTGGATATTTTTCTCCATTTTCAAATATATTGATTTCTATTACAACACAGAATACAAAGTGTATAGTGCTCATTTTATATTATTATTTTTATTACAAATATTTGCACTGTAAAATTGATAAACAAAAGAAATAGTATTTTTCAATTCACCTCATACAAGTACTGTAGTGCAATCTCTTTATCATGAAAGTTCAACTTACAAATGTAGATATTTTTGTTTGTTTGTTACATGACTGCTCTCAAAAAAAATTCGTATGGCCCTTCATGCTTCAGCCACCATTCCAGAAGACATGCTTCCATGCTGATGATGCTTGTTAAAAAATAATGCGTTAATTAAATTTGTGACTGAACTCCTTGGGGGAGAACTGTATGTCTTTGGCTCTGTTTTACCTGCATTCTGCCATATATTTCATGTTATAGCAGTCTCGGATGATGACCCAGCACATGTTTGTTTTAAGAACACTTTCGTAGCAGACAAAACGCAAAGAAGATACCAATGTGAGATTTATAAAAATAGCTACAGCACTTGACCCAAGGTTTAAGAATCAGAAGTGCCTTCTAAAATCTGAGAGGTACGAGGTATGGCGCATGCTTTCAGAAGTCTTAAAAGAGCAACACTCAGATGCGGAAACTACAGAACCCATACCAACAAAAAAGAAAATCAACCTTCTGCTGGTAGCATCTGACTCAGATGATGAAAATGAACATGAATCGGTCCGTTCTGCTTTGGATCGTTATCGAGCAGAACACATCATCAGCATGGACACATGTCCTCTGGAATGGTGGTTGAAGTTGAAGGGACATATGAATCTTTAGCGCATCTGGCACATAAATATCTTGTGACGCCGGCTACAACATTGCCACGCAAATGCCTGTTCTCACTTTCAGGTGACATTGTAAACATGAAACGGGCAGCATTCTCTCCTGCAAATTGTAACCAAGTTTGTTAGTCCTACTTCAGCCGATCGCTCAGACAGAGTGGACTTGTAGGCTCTAAAGTTTTACATTGTTTTATTTTTCAATGCAGTTATTTTTTGTACATAATTCTACATCTGTAAGTTCAACTTTCATGATAAAGAGATTGCACTACAGTATTTGTATGAGGTGAAGTGAAAAATACTATTTATTTTTTTCACATTGCAAATATTTGTAATAAAAAATAAATATAAAGTGACCACTATACACTTCGTATTCTGTATTGTAATTGAAATCAATATATTTGAAAATGTAGAAAACATCCAAAAATATTTAAATAAATGGTATTCCATTATTATTTAACAACGCAATTAATCACATTTAATTTTTTTAATTGCGCGTTTAATCGCAATTAAATTTTTTTTAATCACTTGACAGCCCATATATATATTTAGGTCTTGGGTTGGAAAAGTCGTACTGTTGTATGCAATAGATGCTGTCAAACTAACGTGATATATATTTTTTATGGGATTACAGTATGGTTGATAAAGATAATAGTGTTGATGTAATATACTTAGACTTCTGTAAGGCGTTTGATTTAGTATCACAAAATATTTTGATTAAGAAACTAGAACAATATAAAATTAACATGGCACACATTAAGTGGATTAAAAGATGGCCAACTTTCATCTTACTGCAGAAGACTACTCAGGAGAATGTAAGAGTTCAATAGCATTTGCCTCTTGCGGGGCAGGAAGAGGAGTTTACATCTCAAATGGTGTGTCTGTCTAGCCTCCAAAATCCTGATTTTTTTTTTTTTTTTTTTAGACAAGGTGGCCTGGCCTAAGGCCAGTTTACTGTTCTGCCACTGGGTCATGCCATGAAAAGCCAACCCAGCTACTGTTCAGCCAGGGATTAGGTTGGGAGTGAGGAAAGGATACTGAGATTGAAGATCATCTTGGATTCACACTGCAATAATGGGTTTCTGCTGTCTTTTGTGAGAAGGAAGATTGGGATAGCTGAATTCAGTCTCATTGCATTTCATGCCAATATATTGTATACCCAAGCCTTAAGATTTTATTTACTATAAAATATCACATTTAAGAAAACAAACACTACAATACCAGCTATATTATTTTAAGTTTAATTTCTTTAATATTCTGTTTTTGAAAATGACTGAGTCTAAAGTGTGTGCATACTTTGTCGCCTTTTCAGTGTACTTGCTTATTATTCATCTACCTTTTTTCCTTTTCACTTTGCCTTTTATGCATTCACCAAGACAGAAGTGGGTTGGAATAATGTAAACATAGTATCATATCACAAGAGCTTTTGTTCTGTAGGTTCATTCTCTTGTTTGAACAAGAAACTTTTTAACAGAGGGTGAGAGAAGAATCCTCTTTACTCATATGCATAAATCTGATATACATTGGATAAGTGGTTTTTTTATGTATGTTTGCATGAACAATCTCTCTCCATGCAAATTTTGTATTTAAGCATGTATTTACATATGTAGTACATTAGAACATAATGTGAAATGCAAATAGTCATAGCCATCAGAAATCAAGAATTGAGTTTAAATTCTTATCCTTTAGATTTCCCATTGTATCATCTGTAGTGCAAGTAGTTAATGTAGTTACAAATATGACCATTTGTTTAATCTTTTGAAAATGCGAAAAGAGCATTCATTCCCTCAGCTATGAGATTTTGTGCAATGGAGATGCCATAGAGCTAAAAACAAACGCCAAAAATGTTTCTTTAAAAATCAGTTTATCTGGGACCACTGAAATGCTTTATGGATATGGCTATTTCATGGCCTCACTACAGAGCATAGTTAAGGTTGCTTTGAATTTCCATATGTTAAAATGTTTGGACTTTTAAAGCTTACCTTAACTGTGAGTTTCTTGTGTTTATAACACGTAGTTTTAAAGATAATTATAAGATCCCTTTAATGAATTTTACTCTAATTTCTTTTATACGTACGCTTCATTTTAATGTAATTTTTTGTCTGGGAATTTAAAAAGCACAAGATCCAGATGTCTTTTAGCTATTCTTGGAGTAGATAATAAGAAAAAATGCCTTTGAGAAAGAAAATGCAAATTCTGTGTATTTGATGTCTGTATGAAAACCCTCACTCCCATTAAAATCAAATAGGTGCCCTTCAATGCCACTTTAACCTGTTTGTATCAGATCATTAGTTTTGGTTGACAAAATATATTTTGAGAGAGCAGAACACTTTGAAAAGAAGTGTTACCTCATGGGCCATTGTGTTTCCAATAGTTAGCCACATAAAAAATGCCTGAGTATCTTTCTTTCAGCTCCGTTGATGTGCATAAACATGATGTTTTGATCTCTTACAAGTTCCTAAATGCAAATTTGGATATTTTTTTTTAATCATCACTGTCAACCTTTTCTAGTCCTTTGTAGGTTTCTCCCTTTCAAATATTTTTATTCTTGAACACTGAATTACAATAAAATTGTGCACCACTATAAAATTAATTTTAATAAAGTACCAACCTCCCAAAATTCAAACGCCATGTAATCCTGATTTTAAAATCTTGCTATTTCAAACACAAGAGGCTAATACTTCCTAAAAACAAAAAGAAGTGCTAAAAATATCAGTTGACATTGGTTTTAAGTAACCATATATATAGTAGTAAGCTATTATAAAATATTGATTCCAGGAAGAAGTGTTTAAGGAAAATTTATTTAAAGGTAAACTGCAATGTACAGTAAAGATCCAATCAATGTGGACAGAGATGGCTTGACTTTTTTTGAGGCTGAAACACAGTTCTCCACTCCAGGAACATTTGACAGCAGAAAGCTTGGTCCAGTACCCTCTATAGTAACCACCTCAGCTATGGCCAATGGAATAAGTGCTCTCGCTGAATGTTTCTGCTAAAAATGAATAGTAGTGAAATAGTTAATAATGCTGACATTTAAATTGTCATCAGTAGGCTCGGAATTACATCAGTTATGATGGATAAGAGCAAGTCACACCCCTTGGAGCTATTGTTCCAGGCAGTCTGCAGACTCTGGAAAACATGACCGCACCTGATACATTCTGTTCACATTTAAAAGGTTTTGCTCCTCTTAAGCGGGGGAGGTGGGAAGGGAGAGGAATAATTTTCTTAAGTGACATCTTAGATTTGACAGCCAAATTGTCTCAATCTGTAGGGCGGAATCATGGAAAATACAAGGTTTTAGTTAAGACCAATGTGTACCTGGTTTTGGGAAACATGGACAGCACACCATTCTTACCTGTCTCTAGAACTAAGACCTAGCCTAATCTGTTTGTGGCCCCAGTCTTGCAAAGAAATACTCCATTGAGACTCTGAGTGGGTCCATAGATTGGAGCCATAGATCAATAATGGTACTTATGATATAATAAAAAACACTCAAATTAGAGGAAAACTCGAGTATGTTTGAATGTCAACAAGATAAATTTGTGATTTAGGACATACTTATCCTATTTTTTTGTGTGTGTGTGTGTGTTTTTTTTGTAGGATATGTGGGCAACTGACACACTATAAAGAATCAGACTTTCCCCAGAGCTACCAGTTTGTGTTAAACCTGTTCTCCTTCCTCCTAAGGGTACCAGCCTCTCTCATCCATGAAGAGGTGTGTTTAATAGAACACAAACTGTTTAAAAAAAAACTCCACAGAAAGTAACACAAAACAAAATATTCATGTCCAAGAAAATGGAAAGTCCTAAAGATCACAGAACTACCAGATGGTAAATGAAAAAGTTAAGAACTGTGGCCCCAGTCCTGCAACTGGATCCATGCATACAGGCCCTTACACCTGCACAAAGCTCCACTGATCTCAGCGTGATGCTGTATGGGTGGATCTGCCACTGCCGGTCTCACTGCCAATTCAAGGTTTCAATGTATCTACATTACAAAGAACAATGGGAAACTACATGAGGGAAGAGTTACTGAAGCAACTGCTTACCAAAGTTTACATCCACTTGTATTAAAGGTAATGGGAAGTTTATTATAGTAGTTTTTTGTCATACATACATACTTGCATGTGTCTTGAGTGCAAAGTGCAGCAAATAGTCCTCTAGATTATATTAATTGTTCATTTTACTGAAGGGTTTGCATTTCAAAGTAGTCTGTATCTTGTTGGGGTTTTTTAACTTGTATGAGAGCAAATGTTACCTATTTCTAAAAAGAACTATTTTTTTACATTTGAAATAAAAAAACTGCTAAAGAACAACTGTGGGAAAAGAGGTGTTTAACAGAGGGTTTTATTGCGGTGATCTGACATTTGGGTTGCAACTCACTATTCTGAAACATCAGATTGATTGGAAGAAACCTTGCAATATTCTTTCTTGGCCTCTTTACATTTCTTCTCTTCGTATTCTCCTCCTCACCCTTCGCTATGCCCAAGCTTCTTACCTAGCTATTATTTTATATCCTTCTCCCACTCCAGCCTCATGGTTTCTTCTGTGCTTCCCCTTTAACACCTGGAACTCCTCCCTCCCTTTCCTGGGTTCCATGTGCTGGGTTTCTCTCCGTCTTTCTTCTGCAAGGCTTACTGACAGTGATCATAATTAAATTATTCCACTTGTCACCTGATGATGTGTTGAGCCTCAGCCATATGATAGCTGTCCAAGTCCTAGCTTTATTCTTCATGCACTGAGTAAGTTGCTCAACGACACCAGCCAGAACAGACAAGGTGGAGAGAAAGCTGGAGGCCAACACCATCATAGCTAGGGCCCTACCAAATTCATGGTCCATTTTGGTCAATTTCACAATCATAGGATTTTAAAAATCGTAAATGTCATGGTGTCGTAAGGGTCCTGACACAAACAGGAGTTGTGGGAGGGTTGCAAGGTTATTGTAGGGGAGGTGTTGCAGTACTGCTACCTTTACTTCTGCGCTGCTGCTGGCGGCGGCGCTGCCTTCAGAGCTGGGCAGCTGGAGAGTGGTGGCTGCAAGCTGGGAACCCAGCTCTGAAGGCAGAACTGCCGCAAGCAACAGCACAGAAGTAAGGATGGTATGGTATATACACCCTTCTTTGCTGCTGCCTGCAGAGCTGGGCCCTTAGTCAGCAACCACCATTCTAGCTTCCCAGCTCCTAAGGCAGCAGCGCAGAAGTAAGGGTGGCATGGTATGGTATTGCCAGCCTTACTTCTGTGCTTGTGCTGCCTTCAGAGCCGGGCATCTGGCCACCCACCGCTGCTCTCTGGCCACCCAGCTCTGAAGGCAGAGCAGAAATAAGGGTGGTAATTAGGGATGTAAAAACAATAACCGTGTAACTGATTAAAATTCTATCTGTTACACGGTTAAACATTTAAACAGAGATGCAGGGGGTGCTGCAGTACCCCCACATTTTAGGCAGGTTTCCACTGCTGGCCTCATGCCCAGGGCTCTGCGCAGAGCAGCAGCAGAGCCCTGGGCACGCCAGGATGCTGGGTGCGGGGCTGGCAGCCAGGACCCCGGGGACACTCGGGGCCGGCAGCCAGGACCACAAGTGGAGTTTAATCACTAACAGAAACCAATAAGCATCAATTTTATCGGTTAACCTGTTAAACTTTTACATCGCTAGTAGTAATACCGCAATCCCCCTAAAATAACCTTGCGTTCCCCCTGCTTCCTTTTGGGTCAGGACCCCCAATTTGAGAAACGCTTGTCTCCTCTGTGAAATCTGTAGGAAATCTGTATAGTATAGGGTAAAAGCACACAAGACCAGATTTCCTGGTCTGTGATGTGTTTTTCATGGTCATGAATTTGGTAGGGCCCTTATCATAGCCCATGTTTTCACATTGTGCCTTCTATTGGGCTTACATACATTTGAACAGGAGTAAGGAGTAAATACCATGTAGGCTGGAATCTTTGTGGCAGATAAATGGTTGCCTAACACCATTCTTTGGTCTCTCAGCTAAAATTAATAAAAACCAGTACCTCCAACCCCTAATAGGGAGCACAAATGTTACCAAATTCAATTATACTAAAATTAGCTGACATCTAAAATGATTACCATGGACAGCATGTCCCATCTGGGGGAGGGCTCTCAGGGTTTGTCTACACAGCAAAGAAAAACCTGCAGCTGGCCTATGCCAGCCGACTTGGGCTTGTGGGGCTCGGGCTGCGGTGTTGTTTTCATTGCTGTGTAGACTGGAGCCCCGAGCTCTGGGATCCTCCCACCCCACAGGATCCTACAGCCTGGGAGCCAACCTGAGCCCAGAAGTCTACACAGCAATGAAACAGCCCTGCAGCCTGAGCCAGCCACAGGTATCTAGTTACTGTATATACATAATCTTAAAGAGCTTCCAACTTCTCTCATGAGCAAGGAGCCAGGTTGCAGTGGTGAGGTAATCCCAGAAGGTGGCCAGTGCAGTGGGTCCTCTCTAGATATGATGATCAGGTCCCTTCTGAAAGGGTTTTTATGATCAGTCATAGTTTAAATAAAATTATAAAGTTGAAATCTGAAGACTGAGAATGGAACTTGTGGGTTTTGGAAATGGAGATGTACTGCCCTAACCGTCTGGAACCAAGTGAAAAAGCAACACTCAAATTGTGAAGATCACAGGGAGAGGAGCCCAGAAATGGTTAGGAAGTCAGAGCTAGGTTACAGAAAGCACCTGGAAAGTCTTGCACACCAAGTGGGAGATGCATTCAAAACTGAGCAGAAGGTCAGTGAATGAGAGATTCTGCTACCTGGAAACAAAAATCTGAAATTTAGGGTAGTCTTAAAACAAACAGGGAGTCAGAGTAGTGGGCTTGAGATTGTGACATGCTCTGATACCAGGGAGATTATCTAGTGCCAACAATAACAAAAACAAGTGTGTGTTGAGGGGGAGGGAGGAGATTGAGATGTAACTTGTGTTCATTCATACTCAATGATTCATAGCGCTTGTACAGTGCTTAGGTGCCTTAGGCATATCTAAGATCTAAATAGAAATTGTACTGGGCACGTCAGACAGGTATGAAGAGAGAGACCCAATCCTGATGATTTTATATGTAAATTGTCTCAGAAATAAATCTCATGCATGTGTTTTTAGTGCTCCAATTTTTGTTTAGATTTTAAGATTTGTTATCTATGTTGACCCTTCCTAGAGTTTTTAGGCCTTTTGGGAGAAATATCTGATGTGGTTATGCGATACGCAGCCCCAGTTGCTATTTTTATCAGCAGTTACATTATTCTTTAACAAGAATTTAAGCGTCCTTGTCACTTTTTTAAAAAGTTTGAAAGACCTTCTCCTTTTATACACTGCCTTAATTGTAAACTACTTATCCTTTTATTAGTGGAAATCTGTAGTATTTATCATTTGTTTCAAGTTCACTACTAAAAGACACCTTACTATATACAGTCATAGTTTTTAAAGTAATTCAAAAGGCTGTATTTAACTTCATTTGAAAGACTACATATGCTTAATTACAGACACAGCTTTCTTTTAAAACTACTGTAGTGGTAAAAATACTATGTGCATACTCAATCTACGAATGTAACAATGCGCCCTTAGATGTTGGAATAAATTAAAGTTGTGCTTTAATAAACAGGAATAAAGCTTGCAGTTCATCACCAAGCAGTTTGTGCCTCCTGGACACATAGGGTAAGAGTCAGATTTAAAAGTAAAGGGTGTGCCTCTAATGTGCTTGATGTCAGTACCATCCAGTTTAATCAATCAACATTTAGTTGGTGTAATGATAGTTAACAACAAGCTGATGAACCAGAGGGTGACTTAATCTTCACTCAAGTGTAGTTGTGCTCTCTTGGGACACAACTACTTTGAGTCCAGTCAACACTGCGCTGAGGTGGAGCCACATTTCTTAAG